GCCGCGGGGGTGGGGGGTGGCCTTGATGCTGGGGGGCTGGAGGTGGCCTGGGGAGTGCTGGAAGCAAGGGCTCTGGGCGAAGAACTGGCAGAGCCGACAAGAAACCGCTCTGCTGCCCTGCTCGTCCATCCTGCAAGCTGGTCAGCCTCACACGGAGCTGAATTCTAATGTGGCCTTTTTCCCGCCCGCGGCCAACGAAGCCTCGCGGGTCCTTCCGGAAGCCCTCGGCCCCAAAGGTCTTTCAGATTCTCTGGCTCCCATGAGGGTCGAGCTGCAGGGACCTCACCCAGGAGGCCCCACCCGTGGACAGGCACTCGGAGGAGGGGCGCCTGGTCCCTATGCTCTCTGTCTGCTGACTGTGGGAGTCAGACTGGGACAGATGCCACGCCCCCACCCTGACATCAGGGCCCTGGATTGTGTGAGAGTGCCACACAGGGCAGGGTGGGGGCCGAGGCACGGCTCTAATAGCCACACACTAGTATCATCTCGGCCGTCCCAGGGTTTGGGAGGTCTCACCCTTCGCCGTGTCTCCCTTAGGACTCCAGGTGGGTGGAAGAGAAACAGCTGCTGATCAGAACGAACCAGGACCTGCTGGAGAAGGTGCCCGCAGCCCCGCCCCCGGGAGCCCCGCCCCCGGGAGCCCCGCCCTGTTCAGAGCCCTGCCGTCAGCTCCCTGGCCCTCACCAAGGATGCATGCCCCCATGGCCCTGCCATCCAGTCCTCAGTGGGCCCCGTGGGGTGAGCAGGGCCAGAGGCAGAGCCAGAGCCGTCAGCCTGGCTCCTAGCACGCCCTGTGCCCTGTGGGTTTCCTGGGCAGGTGGCTGTCCCCATCACCACGTGCTCCCCTAGAGCACCCCCACCCCATGAAGACCCTCTGTCCTCATCCTGGCTGTCCACGCAGGAGGGCCTGACAGGCCTTCAGCACCAGGGCAATTGCTTACCTCAGGGGTCCCATCCATCAGCAGCTCTGAGGCGTGTGTGTGTGTGTGTGTGTGTGTGTGTGTGTGTGTGTGTGTGTAGGGGGGGAATCCTGCCTGTTGGGTGTGAGGCCTGAGGGTTTGTCTGGCCTGTCAGCTCAGGCCTGAGGTGGTGGGGTCCTGCCCTTCACCTCTGAGGCCTGAAGTGGTAGGGGTCCCACCCTTCACCTCTGAGGCCTGGGGCAGGGGGAGGTTCTGCCATGGGTATGAGGCCGACAGTGGTCTGGCCTGTCAGTGCGGAGGCCCGCGGTGGGCGGGTCTTGCCCCCGTGGCTCTGAGGCCTATTAGAGCTGAGGGCCACCTCGATTGGGCCACTGTCGGCTGGGTCTCTCCTTTCCTGAGCTTTCTTGGGGGCAGGAAGGTCACTGCACTGCTGTGGGGCCATCTGTGCTCCCGTCCCTTGGGTGTGTTTCCCCCACCCCACCCCCAGTGCCAGTGACAAACAGAAGGCGGTCCCCACAGCCCAGATGGCACCACCTGAGACCCCCTGCCCTCCCTTGGAAGTCGGGGTTCCAGGGCCTGCAGTCTCTGTGCTGGCACGGGCCCTCGCTTACCCGCTCTGCCCCAGATCTGCAGGCTGGAGGTGGAGGAGAGCCAGCTGAAGGATGAGATGCAGGAGGCCAAGGACCAGAACGAGCTACTGGAGTTCCGGGTGCTGGAGCTGGAGGTCCGAGACCCCCCCTGCTGTAAGCTCCCCAACGGGGGGGCGGACATGCTCTTTGAGCCCAAACTGAAGTTCATGTGAGGCCCAGGGGTGTCCGCGTGTGTGCAGGGCACCGTCTCTCCGAGCGCCCTAGCTGCCTTACCTCGGAGAAGCGCCGGGCGCATGGCCGCGGAGCTGCATCCCCCACTGCCCACGGCCCACGGCCCGTTTTGCACTTAATAAAAGGGTTTGTTTTTGCAATGTGTTGCCTCTTACCTGTGCTCATTCCCACAGCAACGCCTTTCCTGTCTCACCTGGGGTTTCTGTGAGCAGCCTCGCAGCCATGCACAGCCTGCCCACCCTCTGAAGCAGAAGAAAGCTAGCCGCCACATGACCCAGCCTCTGGCCAGTCCCTGCGCAGGGACATTCTCAGGCAGGTGGGCAGAGGCTGGCCTCTGGCCCACACTGCCACCTTATGGCCACTGCATAGCAGCAAAATTAAACGAAAAACTCAGCCCTCCAGTTCAGTGACCCCATAGGAGAGGGTAGAACTGCCCCTGTGGGCAGTGTGAGACGGTCACTCTTGACGGGAGTAGACAGCCTCATCTTTCTCCCTCTGAGTAGCTAGTGGTTCTGAACTGCTGACCTTGTGGTGTGTAATCGGTACATCTCCAGGGGGTAAATCAACTAACCACCCAGATCCTTCCTGGGTCCCCCACGACTCGCCTCTGCCCCTCCCCAGTGCCTGCTCACTGCTGGGCACAGAGCACCTGCTTATTTCTCAGCCTCGTGGCTGGTGGCTGGTGGGCGCTGCCCCCTTGGGTCTGACTCTGACCCGCAGGCCAGGGTAGAGCTGTCCAGGTAATGTTATGGGAGCAGGTGGCCAGACCTGGCTCCCGCAGAGCTCCCCATGAGTGAGAACCACTGCCAAGGGTGGCCGAGGGTGCTTCTTGGCGCTGTGACACTGGGCAGTGCTGGTGCAGCTGTCTTTGCGGGAAGACGAACAGTTTGTCTGGTGGACTCGGGATTCGAACTCAGGCCGTCTTGCCCCTGCCCACTGTGCACCTGAGGCCAGTTCCTGTGCGTCTCCCCAATACTCTCACCCAGGAGCTTGATGCGGAAGTCCTGCCAGGCCTCCTCCCTGCCCAGCCCCCTAATCTGTGTCCTGAGCCTACCATCCATGTGTCCCAGGTCAGCCACCCATGATGGCCTCTTTCCCTTCACTGTCCTAGCTCCTTCAGACCCCGCCCCATGATCCCCTGGCCCCCCTCTCCCTGCTGTAACTCCTCTGTCCCCTACACCACTCATCTTGGAGCTCCAACCTGTAGGTCTCCCAGGGTGGACTTTCTCTTGTCTCAGCACCTGCTCCAGCACCTGCCAGGGGGCCCCTCAGACTGGCCTGCTCCAGTCTTGGGGAGGTGGGTGTGGCGGCCAGCTGGGGACTGGGGGCACTTGCCCGGGGCCTCCGCCTCTGTGCCTGGCCGAGGGGTGGCATTGGGCCAGGTGGACCCCCCTCCCTGCAGGGTGAAATGTGTATTGCCTATGAGGTGGCCCCTGTGGAAACCGTGCTCCTCCTGGGAGATCATCAGACTTCTGGGCTGCCAGCCGAGGAGAAACTGGAGCCCTCATCCATACTGCATGGGCTGAAACCCAAGCACCTCTTAGGACAAACCCCGATCACATCGCTGCCCCATAGGCACCAGCTGGAGCCTCCTGGCCGCCGCCTGGGACAAGAACACCAGGCTGAAGCCACCAGCTGTCCCCCCGCCACGCCTGGCTCGGGAGCCGCCTGCAGGATGGACACGCAAGGCTCTACTGAGAAGAGCTTCCACTACGTGGTCCAAGCGCCCAGCAGTGAGGGGCTGGATGTGGTGCATGTGGACCTGAAGGTCAACACGGCCTGGCTGTTCCAGGATGCGGACAGTGGGGGTGTGGAGCCCGGGTTCCTTCTGGAAGGAGTGGCCAGTGGTCCCAGTGTGGACACAGGGGCGCTCAGGGAGCAACTGGCCTCCTCTGAGCAGAAGCTGCTGGCAGCTGCGGACAAGCGCGTGGTGTCCGAGTCTGGGCTGAGGAGTAGGTGAGCTCTTTCCTTGCATATCCCTGACCGGCCCAATGCCTTCCATCTGATGACCCCCACCGCCCCACCACCCTCCACCCAGCAACGATGGCCTTCCGGGCATGACATCTCATTCTCTGTGCACCCCACTATCTGACCCCCAGCACATGGTCTCCCCTCTACCTGGGCATACTACTATCCCCCCCCCACCACCACCACCACATAATGGTCCCCCCTCCCCAAGCATCTAAGAACTCTGACCATCCTGGACGGTCCAGGACCTGACTGTCCCCCCATCCTTCCGCAGCACCTGAAGGCGGGCATCCCTGCATCCCGCCATGCCTGATGGGCGCACTGGTTGTGATGGGCACGGTGACGTGATACTGCCCTGGGCCGCGGGTGGCACGGGCTGTGCCTTCTCTCCTTCCCTAGAGTCTTGGGCCTGTGGTCTCAGGTCACAGCCCAGGAGGCACCAGAGGCTCCCAGCCCCAGAAGTCAGGTGCTTGCCCCCTGCCCTGCTGCCCGCCTGGACTTTGGCTGTGCAGCCTGGCCCAGCTTCTGCGTGGCCTGGCTCTGTCTACCACCTCCTGGGCCCACACGTGTGTCCCTCAGCCCTGGGCCCCAGGCTGTCCTCCTCCTGCCAGCCTTGGGCTGCTCTCTCTTTGGTGCCATCCAGGGCCTGGGCTTGGTTTGCCACGCAGGCTGCCTTGGCCCTACGGGCGCCCTTGACCCTGGCCTTTCCTGATGACACCTCACACCCAGGTGGGCAGGGAGGGTGCTCCTGCTGCCGCTGCCGGGACAGGTCCAATGGATCAGTAGGGGGTTCTGAGGGTCACGAGGGCCGTGCCCACAGGCCAGCACTTGGTTCTGAGGGTCGGTTGGAGGGTCTGACAGCAGCACCTGGCTCTGATAGGTTAGCAGGGCAGTTCTGATGACCAACATTGGTCATAGGGGTCGTCTGACAAATTACAGGTGGACTGGTAAGCCGCTGGGCTGGTTCTGACGGTTCTGACATATCCCTAGGGGAGTCCTGATGGGGCACAGGGTGGTTCTGATGGGGTTCTAGGCTGGTTCTGTTGTCGTGATTAGAGAACGGAACACTGCTCGGGGCTGCGCCATCTCACAACTGTTACGATTGAGCCCGTTGTTACGGCCACGGTGTTCGCCCACCTCTTCTTTTCTGCCGCCCCTCCACTTTACCGAGTGCGGCATCCTTCTCTGGGGACTGGTCTCTCCTGACAGCATGTCCACAGTACGTAGCTCCTCTTACATAAAGGCAGCGTTCGCCCTAGGACTGGCTTGTTTTGCTCAACGGGCTGTTTCCGAGGTCCACGCATGAGCTGGCAGCGTGGAGCCCAGCTCTGTTTCTTGCTGCGGCTCGGGACCGGCCGAGGCTTGTCTTGAACCCGCACACGCATGTGCGAAATTCTGGTGAGGCTGCTGGCCATTAGCCAGTGTTAAGGCCTCATGACGCTGGGCGTTCCCTCACAGCAGCCACGTGGGGGGCTGGGATGGAGCCAGAAGCCCAGCCAGACACCGCCCCCCCCCCCAACACCAGATGGAGCTGCAGCCAGGCGGGGCAGGGGTCAGCTGCAGTTTCCACAGAGCATCACTAAGACTCCCCCACAGTTCACTCAGGGGACCAGGTGCCTGCCGGCCCACTTCCCGTGTGAGTGCGTGTCCGTTTCTGGAGCTGCTGTCACGCGAGGCAGGCCCTTCCTCCCTTCGCTCAGTCGGGGAGCCAGGGGCCAGGGTGCGGCCACCTCCTTCCTTTCCCCTTCGGAGGAGTCTCTAGGACAGGTGCCTGCGTCTGCCAGCTTGTAGAGCTGTGTCCTCAGAGCGTGTCCCGCGGCTGCCTCCGTGCCCCTCCCTCACCCTGCGTGGGTCTTCACATGGCATCTCCTGTGGTCATGAGAACTCTAGTGGCATTGAGGGCTGTCATGGTGAACCCTGGACACCCTGAGGTGCTGCCATCTTAATGGAGTGACTTCAGTCCTGAATCAAAGCGCGTTTAAATTAAACTCAGATTTTTCTTTCTAATTTTCTTTTTAAAAGCAGTGAGCATGTTGTTGAAATTGTACGGTTTGCAAAACAAAGAAGGCGAACGGTGGGCTCTCTAACCTGGATGAAGAGCTGTTTGGGGCCTGGTAAGAATGTTTGTGCAGGGGACCCCAGGAAAGGGGCCTTGGTCAGCAGGGGCTCGGAAATAGGACTGTCGCTGTGAATGCAGAGTCCCACACCCACTGCCTCCTGAGGCCTCCGGCTCCTGGTGACACCGCTGACAGAGTGGAGGCCACCGGGGTTTCCAAGGCTGACAGACGGCCTGCACCAACACCGCCACCCCCGCCCCTGCGAGAGGCTGTTGGGCCTCGCCCAGCGAGTCACCAGGCCCACCCTCAACAAGCTTGGAGCCAAGAATCCCTTGGCAGCTAAGATAGGTTGATGTCTTGGTTCATATCCTGAGCCCCAACGGGAATTTCTCCAGGGATTTCTGCAGCTTCCACTCTCAAACCAAACCACACCAAAGCCACTGCTTTGGGTTTGAAATCAGAGTGACCCCGGTAGGTCCCCACACTGCACAGTCGTAGGAGGGAGCAGCCTCGTCTTCTTCCCGAAGGATAGCTTGGGGGTTTGAACTGCCCACCTTGTGGAGAGCAGCCCAGCATCCCTGAGTCTTCTGAGTCTTCTCGGGGCACCAGTCCTGCCTCCCCAACTGAAGGACGGTATGGCCGGGCCTCCTTGGATTTCTACTCGCCCTCTGCCAATCATTTGTGACTAAGGTAGAGCGGTGAGATGGGACAGAGAATGTAACAGAAAAGTAGCTGCTGTTAGGATGTCCTCCCCCCCGCCTCAGGATGTAGCAACCTCCCAAGGCAACACTGCTTACTGACAATGCTTAAGCTGGCAGTTCCACCGCCCTTTGTAGCATTGGCCTGCCTCCTCCCACCCCTGCAAACCCGTGAGGCTGAGCCTGTGTCCTCTCCCCTTCCAAAGCCGGCTCTTCCCTGCCGTTGGGAGCAGTGTCTGTGGAGGCGCCCACTTTGAGACGGTTCTATGTCCTCAATCACGTGTTGGCTTTGTGTCCTCCCAGAGCGTCTGTTTGAAGACTGTTTTCCCCAGGCCACTTCCCACTGGGTGACCCTGCATTCTCCCAGCCTCGCCTGGGAGTTACACCCCGAGGCTGTGGGGCCCAGAGCCTGGCCATCCTGCCCTGAGTGTAAGCCCAGGGCCAACATCAGGGGGGCTGGATCCTGACTCACAGTTAATTTAATATGGCAAGCTGGTCCCACGGGGCTTCACGGCCAGTGCTCTGGCTCACTTTGGGAGTAGTTGATGACTGTCCCCCACAGGGCACCTCCTGCTGCACTTTTGAGAGAGAGGAGGGCATGCTGGGCCTTGGTCTCAATAAGAATGTGCTATTGTGCTCATGCCTCAGCAGGACCCATTGTCTCTGTGGCTGCCCCCACAGACGCCCACCGGAGGGGCTGTACAGGACAGAGGTGTTCTCTCACGGCTTGAGAGACTGAGGGCAGACTCTGGGGTCACAGGTCCTGCTCCCCTGTGGTCCTGGGGGACGGTCCTCCCACTTGCCTTTCAGTCTCCAGTCCAAGCATTCCTGGGTGTTTCTGGATGCTCGTTCCTGGGCTCTCCTGGGTCCCCACTCCTTGCTGATAGATAACACCTCACATGATGCTTCCCTGTGTGTGACGGGTCCCATGTCTGCTATTCTCTTTTGCATGATATCACCCTGGAGGGATGAGGGTTTGGACTCCCTGCTCCAGTATGGTCTCTGTGCTATGTGAGTCTGGGCAGACTAGAGAACACAGTCACGGACACTCATGTGTGTAAGAAAGCTTGATCGACAAGAGCAGTTGAATACCGAGACGACAGCCCAGCCAGTCCAGGACCATAAGTCTGATATTAGCCCATATGTCAGATACCAATCTATGAATTCCTCTTCAGATTCATGCAAAACATGCAATGACACCAAATGCAGGAAGATCACAGGCCAGTGGGTGGGAAGTCTTGTGGATCCAGTGGCAGTGGAAGCATCTCAGCACTGGCTCATCTCCATGTGGCTCCTCCAGCTCCGGGCACTAGTGTAGCTCCATGTGTCTTGTCAGCTACAATGTTTCCCAGGGAGTGAGTGTGTGTCCCGCCTCCAATGAGCTATTTATCTTCTTAGCACCTCCAAATGAGGTCATCAAGCTGTGACTTGATTGTCAGGTTAAACTCCACCCCTTCACTCTAATACTCTCAAATTGACAACAGATTGTGTAACTACCACAGCCTCGCTAACGTAAGACACACCATCTGCAGAGAAAACCCGATTTCCCTGAAGGAGCCTGGCCCATCCTCAGTGCAGAAGCCGAGACTCCTGTGTGCCTGGTGAGGGGCACTGGCTCCGTAACTCTCTGACTGGGGAGCAATGACCCCACTGTCCATTGAGGAAACAGAGGGTCAGGGTGGGCCCAGCCCGTCCACGGCCCCAGGGCAGGTAGTGGCACAGCCTGGTCTTCATGGTCCCATCCAGGTGCCCTGGTCTCCATGTGGCTGCGGGTGAAGCCACCGGGGAGGGCCCACTCCTGTGGCCCGTGGTCTTCAGTTGGGGAGGCAGGACTGGTGCCCCGAGAAGACTCAGGGACGAAAGGGAGTGGCAGCCTCCCCCCTTCCTCCTCGCACACCTCTGCCTCAGGGCAGCCAGGTGCAGGCCGCCTGGGGCAGAGCCTCCACGTCTCCCCAGGTGGGGCAGGCACCCTGGTTGTTAGAAAATCAGCCCAGGAACCGGCTTTCTCTGGAGGAGGTCCCACTCTACAGCGGCCCAAGGCCAACCGCCCCAGGCTGAGCTCAGACAGGCCTCCACACTCTCTCCTCTCCCCGGGCACAGGGCCGCTGTGCGTCGGAAATGACCCGATGGCAGCTAACAGCAACAACGCCAGGAAGTCAGTGGCGGGCTTGTGACTGCAGCAGGACGTGAGGAACTGTCATGAGTATGCCCCGCTGCTGGTGTTCCGTGCCCTCGACTTGGGTCAGACTCACAGCAGCCCTGCACGACAGCAGGACACACTGTCCGGTCCCGGCCACCCCACAATTGCTCTCACGGTCGAGCCCATTGATGCAGCCACCGTATCCATCCATCTCGTCAAGGGATGTCCTCTTTTGCTGCCCCTCCTCTTTACCAACATGATGTCCTTCTCCAGGGACTGGCCAATGCGTGCAAAGTAGGTGAGGCCGAGTCTCGCTGTCCCGGCCTCTGAGGAGCCCTCTGGCTGACCTTTCCAGGACAGCGCGGTCGTCCTCTCGGAGGAGCTGTGCAGTTTCCGAGACGCATTAGGGTGGGGCTGTGATTCTGGGTGAAGAAGCGGCTGGCAGGCTCCCTCAATTCCAACTGATGCAGGTGTCAGCCTGGGGACATGTTTCTGGTGGTTTTTGGCTCCTTGGCCAGTGCGTGTTTGCTCTGGGGTGACCTGGAGTTTGTGGCTGTCCTTTCTGTCCACGATCAACAGGCTGATGCCAGGTCTCGTGCCAGCGCCCTGCAACTGTGTCCTCAGCGCAGGCACTGGGCAAGCTGCGCAGCTCACAGCAGGACCAGGCACGGTTGCTGGTGCGAGCTCTCATCTACAGAACGAGGAGAGGTTTCAGTCACCCCTTGGAAGGCATCCTGAGAGTGAGGTGTCACTGGGTGGCAGGACGCAGGTTGAGGGCAGGAGCCACCAGCTTGGGCCGCTTGCCCAACTGTCTGGCCCTGCTTCCTGGCATGTGAAGCTGCCACGCTGATGGAATCCACAGGACAAACGTTGCCCTGGCCGCTGTGCTGGGCAAGGGCATGTGCTGTCTCTGGAATGTGGGGCTCCTGGCTTTGGGAGCGGACACCTTATTGGTCAAAAGAAGCCTATGACCTAGCTTAGCCCTCGCTGAAATAAAGGCACACATGGTGTGCAAGGTGTTACTTGGATGCTGGGTGAGGAAGTGTTGTCTCAGTGCTCCGGCCCCTTGGGCACCTCTCACACCTGAGTGACAGCCTTCCTGCCCTGCCTGCCACAGGATCCGGGAGCTGGAGCTGTCTGAGCAGAGACTGCTGCAGAAGGTGGAGCGGCTGAGCACCTGGGCAGCCCAGGAGAGGAGCACCTCCTTGCAGGCTCAGAGGCAGCTGGAGGTGCTGCAGGACGAGCTTGCCAACCAGGTACCCTCCCCCACTGCGCCCCCTCCCGTGTGAGTCCCCTCCCCCCAGGAAAGCCACTCAGCTACAGCAGCCATACACTAATGATGGGCCAGCCTGGGAGCAATGGGCAAGGTGGTGGGGTGGACCCCAGCTTTCTGGTCTGTAAAAGGGTCCACCAGGCCACCCTGCCTACCCCATGGATCTCCTGTGGGGCCCTTTAGGTCCTGGGGTGGGTTGAGTCTGTCTGCTGCCTGGGGAGGGGCTGAGAGCACGGAGTGGTCTGTGGGGACCTGACAGTGCCCAGAGTATCTGATAGGCCTGCAGCAAGCTCTGTGCCAGCCAGTGGGTCAGGTGGGGGTCAGGCTGTGGGTGGGGCTACCTAGGGCCAGAGGGTGCTGAAACCAGGTTCTGGGGTCTGGGAGATGGGCAGGCACGTGAGGTGGGAGTCGGGGAGTGCAGCAGGTGATGGAGGGTCCTGTCTGCTATCCCCAAGGCCTGGGCGGAATGGAGGGCAGTGGGAGCCAGTGTGAGGGCAGGCTTGGGACAAGTGGTCATTTGCGTATCAGTTCATCGCAGGGCTGGTCTCATGGAGGCAGAGATGCCGGGGTCTGAGCCCTGTGGAAGGCAAAGTCACCTCGGGCCAGGCAGTGTGACCTGGGTCTGAACACTGTGTTGGACAAAGTGACCTTGGTCTGAGCGCCATGCCAGTGCCGTAGCCTCTTTGGGTCTCAGTTTCCCCTCTGTGAGATGGCAGTGGCATTGGGACAGCTGCCTGTGGCTGTAAGACAGTTGTTCTCGAAGTGGTCCAAGGCAGGTGCCAAGGACTAGAGGGTGGCCCCACCTGGACTGCTTCTGGGGCAGACAGTGCCTCTCAGCTGCGCACTCAGGGACGCCTGCACTGGGGCTGGTTGAAGGCCCTGCAGGCAAACACTCGCTGGTCACAGTAGTCTGGGGAAGCGAGCCAGGTAGGCAAAAGGGGGTAGGAGGTAGCCCCCGGAGACCTCGTACCCATGTGCATGCCTGTGAGTGTGTGCACGTGTCTGTGTTTTGTGGCCATAACGCCCCATTTCACAATACTGATCGCTGTGGGTTTGTTTCCACTGGAGGGCACTGAGTGTGGTTTGGTTCGGTGGTCTACTGAGTGTACCAAAGTGGGGTGGGAAGGTTTGAAATCCCGCGAGAATGAAGAGGAGGGGACACACCCGCCTCGGGTGTCCAGGCTGCTAGGGAAAGTGCAGGCTCTTCAGAGCTCGCCAAACCGAGGTGGCCCATGCTCCGTCAGTGCACAGTCTAAGGGGGTCCCTAACCCAGCAATCGAGATAAACAGTCTGAAACGAATGGCAAAACCCACGATGACCCGCCTGGGCATGTGAGCACGGCGGGGCCAGGTGCACCGCGTGTCCCTTGAGGTTCTGACGCCCTGCCGCCTGTTGCAGGTGCAGGAGCAGGAGCGCATGGCCCGGCGGCTGCAGGCGCGGCTGCGGCGCCGGGATGAGGCGCTGGGCCGGCAGGCGGCGGCCCTGGAGCGTGGGCGGCGGACACAGCGGCGCCAGCTGGGTCTGGCGCGCGAGCAGGAGCGCGAGCTGCGCGCTCAGGTGCGGCGGCTGGAGCGCGACGTGCGGCGCCTATGCCGCGCCGCAGGCCGACTGCTGGCCGAGCTGGACGCGCCGGCTGGGCCCCGCGCGCAGGGCCCGCACGCGGCGGCGGCGGTGGCGGCGCGCGGGCGGCAGGAGAAGCGAGCCACTGAGCGCCGCCTCCGTGCGCAGCTGGAGGAACTTCGCTGCCGCGTGTTCGAGCTGCAGCTGTCTGAGATCGGCCTTCAGGGCCAGGTGGAGGACCTCACGCAGCAAAACGAGAGCCTGCGAGAGGAGCTGGGTGCCGAGCCCCCCGGGGAGAAAGCGTGCGGTACGGCCCCCGCTTGCCACTGCGCTCGGGTAAGTGGCCAGAGTCCAGGGCGGGAGTGATGGGCATTTCCCCACTTCTGCTATAGCCACTGCCAGGTCAAGCCCTGGGCTGCACTCCCCAGCTTTCCGCTCATCACCAGCCTCACCCATCCGCCCTCCATCCACACATTTACCCACCCACCTGCTTCGTCCACTGCACCAACTCCCACGCCCCTTCCAACTAATTCCACACCCACCCAACTGCCTATCTGTCCACACCCAACCACCCTCTTCCTAACCTTTGTCTGCCAGCTGTCGACCTGACCGCCCACCTTCCAGCTCCACGTCCACTCACCTATACCCTCACCCTCATCCACCATCACCTCCCCAGCCACTCACAGGCATCCAGTCCACTCCCTGTGGTCTCCTCCCCTGGCGTCCATCTGTCCTGGCTGTGCCAGGCTCTGTGCTAGGCGAGGCCCTGGGTGTGCTTCTGCGTCCTCCTACACGTGCGTGACACCCACAGCCAGACTGGCGTGTGGCTCTGTGTGAGCGTCTCCCACCCCCGGGGTCCTCAGCCCGGCAGCAGCCCCTGCAGTTGAAAGGGTGCCTGGGTGTCCCCGCCATGGGCCTGCAGAGAAAGCAGTGCTACAGGCACTGTTATATTGTGGTTTTCAGATGCCGTGCAGTCAGCTCCGTCCCATGGGGACACCCCACCCCCATCCCCCTCTGCACAGCAGAAGGCAGCACTGCCGGGTACTGTGCGGTCCTCACAATGGTTCTATCCCTGAGCCCATCGTTGCAGCCACTGCGTCCGTCCATCTCCGAGGGCCCTCCTCTTGTGCTCTGCCCCTCCGCAGTACAAAGCATGATGGCGCACCCTGACCCATCCCTCCTCATGAGCATGGGAGAGACAGCCCATTCCCAAATGGTCACAGGCCAGGGGAAGGGGGTTACATATTGGTAAGGGGACATCATTCAGCCTGTTGTCCTCTCCCCAATACGTAAGCCCTCCCCCTCTCCCATGGTTACGGGTGTGGGTCCCCTCGAGTTATGCTCAGGAGCACGATGGGTTAGGGCGTGTCCCAGGCCCATCTCTCCTATGAGATAAGGGAGGTGGGGTGAGATGCCCGGCATGGGGGGTCATTAATGACCCAGGAAGCACAGAGGCTGGGGTCCAGGCCTCGCTTCAGAGTCATGCAGAGGGAATGCCTCCCCAGAGCTGCACCCTGAGCGAGGACCACCAGCCTCCTGGACAGTGAGGGACTAGAGTTCTGCTGACAGTGCCACCACCGCATGGGGAAAGGTAGAGGCTGGGCCTTGTCCTGTATGCTCTCCACTGACTGAGAAGCCCCCTGCCATTGACCCACTTCTGACTCACAGCCACCCTGTGCAGGGTCTCCAAGGCTTTGCCAATTGGCACAGGAGCAGACAGCCTCGTCTCCCCTCCTGCAGCGGCTGATGGATTTGAACCACTGACAGTTGGCGCTTGGGGAAGGGAAGCATCCATCAGCTATACCCCAGCACACACCCCGCACTCTCTGTGGTGTTCAGGGATGTCTACTATTGGAAGCTCTTGAACATTCAAGGCCGGTCCTTGGCATCCATCCCTGCTGAACATGCATGGAAAAGGGGGCTCTGAGAGGCACCCTGATCACCTGTTGGCATAACCAGAGGGGGACAAAATTCATAGGAGCCTGAGCTCGTTGCTTCACTGGATCCGGCTGCCTCCTGGAGCACACAGGGTTAATGGAACTCCCCCCAAAGCTACCCAGACCCGAGTTTCCTCACTGCTGGTCTGTCTGCACCGAAGGACAATCTATCAGTGGGCACCCTTGTCCAGTGGGGCTGCTCATTACAGATAAATCAGTTGACCCATGTTTGGAGGCTGCCGGTCTATAATTTTACATGAGGTGGACGCTTAGGGTCCAGTCTTCCCATTTGCTCAGGACAGTGGTTGTCATGGCGACTTTATCTGTGGTCACTTGTGCTGCCCCTCCTGTCTTTCTTCTGCAGGCCCTCTGCCCTCTCCCCGACTATGCTCACCGACGGCAAGGAAGCAGAGTCGATGGGTAACCCCGTCACCTAGTCCTCCTGGAAAATAAAGTGTGTTTAGCTGAAGTTGTAACTTCGAATTCTTGGTCCTTCTCCTGGACTCAAGACTTGAAGCCAGGCTGTTGGCTGAAGTCCTTGCCCGCCTGATTTCTCACCGTGTGCACGCTGCTCCTCGCTGCGTCTCCAGAATGCCGCCCTGGGAGCCGTGTGAGCACAAGCCGTGGGGAGGCATTGGCGCCCCGGGTTCCCTCTCAACAGCCACCAGGTGCTGAGGGTGTGGCCCCCCGATAGACATGAAGAAGCTGAAGCCCAGGGACCAGTGTCACCATGACCACGTGTCAGGGCCGCAGTGAGCACAGCCTGCTTGGCTGGGAGGAGATGTGGCCTGTCCCTCTAACCGCCAGCTCCTGCTGCTGTAGACGGGGTGGCTGTGGAGCTGGGTCCCGGGCATCATCACTCTGTACGCCCCTTGTCGTGTGTCTGTGTGACTTGCTCAGCACTCTGGTGTCCTGCACGCAGGAATCTCACACTCAGGGGTCACACCACATGCAGGGCCCGTGCTGCCCAGACTTTGCTTCCAGCTGCTGTGCTCAGAATCTCTTGACAAATTCCTGGTTTCCCCCCCAGGCAGTCACCCAGCACTGGAAGAGGCAGTCTCTCTCATCTGAGCGGCAAAGAACACGCAGACAACTGTGGAGGGGCAAGTGGGGTGGAGGTGACTGTCTTAGACGTCCAGCTGTGCACAGGGTGTGAAAGACCCACACATCAAGGGAAGCCAGGAGCCCAGGTGGACAGAGGCCCAGGGATCCCAGCGTCACCCTGTTTCTGACCAATGTGATGTCTTTGCTGAAGCTCTCTGTACCTCCATGTCCCCAAGAGCAAGATGGGAAAATTACTAGGGCCGACTCCCACGCATGGCTATAAAGACTGATTGAGCAAGAGCATGTGCATCTTTTAGGGCAGTGCCCAGTGTAGTGAGTGGTCTATAAAACACAGCTTCTATATCCATCTACACCACCATCCTCATCCCTGCCAGTGTTTCCCATTATCATGGTAGTCATTACATCATCTGTTGTCAATTTGAGACTTAAGAGTGAAGCAGTGGCGTTTAGCATGTTAATCAGGTCGCAGCTTGACAACCTCATTTGGAGGCACTAAGGAGAAAAAGAGCTCGCTGGAGGCAGGACACAGGCTCACTCCCTGTGAGACATTCTTGTTGAGAAGCCACATGGAGAGAGGCAGATGGAGCCAGAGCCCTGGAGCTAGAGGAGGCATGTGGAGACCCACAGCAGCGCTGAGATGCTTCCACCCACTGGCCTGTGATCTTTCTTCCTGCATTCAGTGTCATTTCATGTGTTTTGTGAGTCTGAAGAGGACTTTATAGATTGGTATCAGACATATGGGCTAATATCGGGCTTTTGAACTTGATCTGGTCTGGGCTGGGATGTTTTCTGAATATTCAACTACTCTTGTATATAAAGCTTTCTCATACACATATGCATGTCTATGAATTTGTTACTCTAGTCCACCTGGACTAACACAGTACCTTTATAATCACCACCTTCATGTCTACACAACTGTCCTCCTCCCCCTCTCCTCTCCATCACAACCACCACTGTTCCACCTTGGTCACCTCCCCCCGGTCCTCGCAGCATCATTATGTCATCACGACGCCATCATGGTCTCCGTTATGACCGCCCCCCTCCGTCACCAGCACCCTGGCGTATTCCTCCACACTGTCCTTGTTGTCATCATCACACACACACCCCACCACCCCGCAGCAGCGCCTCTTCCTGGACTTCCTGGCACGCACCTCGGGTGCTGAGCAGCACCATGCTTGCTGCTCTCGTCCTGTCTCTGCTGGGTGCTGGCCCGCTTCTCCCGAGGGTGTACCCTTCGGTGTAGGAGGAAGCATGTGCATGCGAGGGGAGTGTGATCTGATGGGAGCCCAGTCCGCTGGGCCTTGATATTGATGGGCGTGAGGTCGCGGGAACCATTCCCCCAGCATGGCCTTGGTCAGGCCTGGCATGAGGTGAGGACCCTCTTGCTGAGAGCTGACCCTCATGTGGCTAGGAAGGTTGTCTACAAGGCTGGGGGAGGAGGGAGGTTCCCCAGCCAGCGGGAGACCTGAGTTGGGAGATTGGACACAGACAGGGCTGGGCCTCATTATGGTGCCCGGTGCTGCTCAGTCGCCAGGCACTGGGCAGGTCTTGCCTGCCCGCGAGAGTGCTTGGCCCAAGGCCACACATCAAGTGGAGTCAGAGCTGGAACTCAGCCCTCAATCTTCTGCCTTGCCACACCCCATCCTACATCCGAGTCTGCCCTCCCAGGGAGCAGGTACCCCAGTCTCCAGTTGAATGACTCCTGATACAGTGGGCGTGGGGCTGGGGGCCAGTGAGACAGAGGGGGGAACCTGGGACAGTGGGCACGGCCCCAGATGGCCACGAGCCCATAAGTCAGACTATGGCATACCAGCTGGAAGCTCAGCCAGGCCACTCTAGGATCACAGGCCTGGGCAGCCAGGCCACCCCCGGCCACAGACTGACCACTGCCAGGCCAGGTGGGAGGTAGTATGGTCACCTTCTCCAGGACTCCCTCCCTGCCCTGCCCCACCCCCTGGGCTCCCCACATGGTCCTGCACCCTCTCCTCACGCCTCCCTGTGGTGTTTGCTGGGTGGTCATCAAGCAGGAGCTGTCAAGAGGAGACCATCCTGGCCGTCTTAATCGCTGACCCTCAGAGCCCCAATGGTGGGGAAGGACGAGGCACTGAGCAATGAGGACACCCCAGGCTGGGCCACACTGCAAATGCAGTGACCCCACCTCTTAGTAGAGCAGTCCCCGTTACTCGGTGCCCACCCGATCCTCCTCTCCCTCACACTGGTCACTGCAGATGAAGTCCACCTCACGCAGTGCCTATGCTGCCCACCCACACATACCTGAGCCTCCCAAGCCAGGGATGTCTGTTCTGTGCATGAGCTCCCTGGTTCCCACGGGGAACTCGAATGTTTACCCAGAAAAGGGGGGAGGCAGTGGAGGGCGGCCTCCAGCTGAGAGGACCCTGCCCTTCAAGGCCAAGAGACAACCATTGGGTCCTCAGAAGAAAACGCGCTTCCTCACCAAAGAGATGGTCAGTAGCACGGCTGCCTGGGGTCAGAAGAGTGGGGGTGGGAGCGTGGGTGGGTAGGTTCTGATCCGGGTTAGAGGAAGGAGCGCATGAAGGAACTTCCTTCAGTGAAGTTCTGAAAGCCCAAGGCTCCTTCATGATGCGTTGTCCGCTGTGCTCAAACGCAGGCCTGGACTCTGCATCTGCAAGGAGACACGCACTGTCCACGGTGCTGGAACGCAGGGTCTGGCTGGGCAAGGTGTGCGCTGTCCGCCGTGCTGAAACCCGGGTCGGGCCCTTGCCGAAACGGTGTACTCTGTCCATGGTGCTGGGAAACCAGCGGCGACTCAATTCTTTCTTTCTTTTAACATAAATCATTTTATTGGGGACTCTTAGAGTTCTTATAAAAATCCATCCATCCATT